TTTGGATTCATCTTCAATGCCTCTTACTTCATCTTACCCCACACATGCTCAATAATGTTCAATTCTGGTGACTGTGCTGGCCAATCCTGGAGCACCTTGACCTTCTATTCTTTCAGGATCTTTGATGTGGGCTGAAATATGAAAAGGAGCGCTATCATGCTGAAGAATTTGCCCTCTCCTGTGGTTTGTAATGTGGTTTGCAATGTAATGATTTCTGTGAGAATCTTGGGTCCATGCGGGTTCCAGTAGGCATTCTGCAGTATTTGTGATGATTGGGATGCAGTTCAACAGATGATTTATCAGAAAATTTACTTTCTGCCACTTTGATTTATTAATTAGGTGCCAATTAAAGGTTCTGTGAGTAAGTTTGTAACTCTTCTAAAGCTTAAAAATACCATAATATGTTTGCAGGTATTTAAGAAACATGCTAAGTGAACATTTTTGTTTATCTAAAAAAACAATGCTAAAGCCCAATTTTCAGCTTTGAAAATGGGAGTTACATGCTGGAACGTTCATATTTGTTTTGGTTCTTTAAACTCGCCCTCAGTTTAGCCAATTATATTTCAGCACCCCGGGTTGCCTTGCTGGAAAACAGTGTATTTCATTCATTCAGTCAGAAAGGCTCTCAAAGCCTGTGTCTGCGACCAAAATGCGACCTCCGGTGGACAGTAGCAGACTGCGAAATGAGATGATGATGTTATTAATTAGCAAATAATATAAACATTCGGTAAGCATGTTACATTTGTAACCCCGTGTCCTAACAACTTGCTATGTGATGAGATTTGCAGTGATGAGCAATTTAGCTGTTTGCACCAGACGAAACACGACAAAAATTTAAATACAGCCATTCAGAAGCAAAGAATAGGCAAGAAATGGTAAGGTTTATGATCTAATTATTAAACCTAATAAACCTCTTTAACATTATTTAATGTAGATGCTGAATCACTGATAGGCTATGTGTTGTTTTTGAGTCACAGTTGTAATGTTCAATTTCAAGTGGTTTATTTTATTTATTTGCTGCTGCTTTCAATAGTTTGGCAATAAATGTCTTGTAAAATGGCCTTCAAATTCACAATATTAGCATTTAACACTGAATAAAGCACATGAGGTGCACCCGAGGAGATCATTGTCATAGTTTTCTGTTGTCAGCTGCGAGAAATAGAAGCCGTTTCTAATATATACATTTTCGGTGTTGGTTTAGACAGAAACTCCTTTTAATATTGAAAATATTTCTTCTATCCAGGGGTGGAAAGAGAACTGAAAAATCATACTTGAGTAAACGTATCATTACTCGCCTAAAATCTATAAATATTACTCAAAGTATAAGTAAAGAGTTGCCCTTTCAAACGTCATAAGATGTTAATATTAGGTTAGATTTAGGTCAGGTGACTAAAATTCAATGTCTAGCCAGCGCAAGGACAACGTTATTTTGATGTCCAGTAATGGCATCAAATGACATTGTTATTTGGTTGATTTTAGGTTGTGTTAGTGACTAAAATCCAACGTCATATTGACGTCAAATACTGGCATTTATCAGGTATGGCAAACAAAATCTGATAGACATCATAGTGGTCACGTCAAGCTGTAACATCATTAGACGTTAATATTTGGTTGATTACAGATTGAGTGTTGGACATTGAGTCCGGCCTGACGTTGGGTTTTGACGTCAACCTGATTTTCATTTCCAAACACAATCCAACATCCCCACAACAATGGGGTACAACATCAATCTGACGTCATGTTGACATCCTGTGCCTGCTGGGTGTTAAACGCCATTTCGGTCATCATACAGTAAACATCCGCCATCTCATCAGTAACATGCATCTAAACAGTCTCTTGTTTAATAAGTGTAAGTAATCTTCTTGTACACTTTTGATGCTTCCAAACAGTTTGTTGTAATTAGAAATCGCCATGTCTTGCTTGCGTTTGAACTAGGAATGCAATACCTAGTTTAACCACAAACATGTCAAACATACTGCACCTTTAATCCTTCACTGAAAATTCTAAATTACTAATGCCTTGAAAATGTTTAGAGTAAAATATAAACATTATTACCCAAAATGCTGTTTGCTGTCACTTTCAACAGAACGCCATAAAAGCTGTGCCTCAGACAGGGACGATGAGAGAAAAATGAAAGGTTTTGGATGGCAGCACAAAGAGGATCTCTCTGAGTTCCAGACATGCCGCCAGAAGCTATACCTGTCAGGCCACCCAGACAGACATCAGGCTTTATTAATAGCTGAAAATGTTGATTACTGAACATGGTTTTGAACATTAGCAATATTTTATAGTTGACTGAGGAGCATTCTACCGCACCAACCAGTTTAATTGTTTCATTTTCACTCCTTTCATGCAGTTTGAAAGGTTATGGTTAAGTTGAGAGTCTAGCCTAAATCCCCTTGAAGATCTTCACAAAAGACTAGCCTACTGATGATGTTCAAAGCACAGATCAATCCCTGACCTTTAACCACTCAAATTATCTGTGGATCTGATTACATCAGATATTGGAAGATAAGCCTCTATAATCAAGTCTTCTGAGAGAGACGTTTTAGCAATGGCATTTAAGTTCAGGTAAGTTTTCTGTTTTTACTGAAGTTTCAATATCATGTCCAGAAGTTTTAATGTGTTCTTTGTAGTTGCTGAGTTGTTACTTACTCAAAAGAATCTCTATTTCCCTCCTTCAGTGTTTTCCTTGTCTTTTTTATTTTCTGTCAGGAGAAAAGCATACATTAACTTTAAAGGTTTAAGTCAATGTAAGTTGTAGAGTGTTTCCTCTAGGATTTTGTCCAGCTGTGGTGGGGAGATATATCCAGCTGCAGGCCCGCAGAACCACACACGTTTTAGGCACACACAATCTGGCACACACAATCTAGGCAAACCATATATGGTTACGACGGATGTTAATGTTATTAACGTCTTTTTTAACATCGTCATCGATATATTTTTTATATATGGTTAATAAATATTGTACACAATAAACAATAGTGTTTACTTTATTTTATTTCACAAATATTGCGATTGAGACGGGCGAATGGGGAGCATTGCTTCCAATCGCCATTCAATATAATAGACTGAACAGTTTTTATCAGTCATTATAGCTGATCAGTCATTATTATCTGACAATAATATGGCAGATACGCGTTTGCTGGCCTTGCTGAACAATCTAAATTGGACAGGTTTAATTTATATAATGCATTAATTTATAATGAAGGAAATAATAGCAAGTTAATATAGGCAATAATACATAATATGTAATAAAAATCTTTTTACATGTAACAATTGTATAACATTATATTAATATTTTACTCAAGAAATTTTATAGTGTTTATAAGCTTAATTTTCTAATAACCTTTTAATGAATGATTTCCCACATTTAATACTTTAGTAATTTATAGTAAGCAATAAATTGTTTTTAAATCAAAATATAGCAATAGGAACAAATAAACTATTAATAATTAATAAAAAATAATAAGTAAAAAAATAAAATAAAAAATAAATATATATATATATATATATATATATATATATATATAGTAGATACAACCCATTCAGATGTGTCACTACTGCATTTAAGCTATATGTATATTTTACTTAGCAATGTTACTGTATGTTAGATTTATAAACACTTATTTTTAAATTAACTTTTAAGTATTTGCTTTATAAGTGTAAAACATATTTTTAGAAACAAAATGAATTTCTTTGCAAAGTTGTGCAGTATACAACTGCTAAAACCCATAAAAATGTCTATTTCACAGGTACACTAAAACATTAAAAATTGAACAGTAAAAATTCTTTACAAGGTCCTTTATATTGCAACTGACTTTAAGAATTGGCAATAATCTTACAGTAAAAAAAGGTCAAAACAACATTTTAGTCAATAGTGAACATTCTTACAATGTGCAACTTCCTTCAAATATTGCCATACAAAATTTACTTTGAACAATTTCTGATATTTTAAAACATTTAAGCTGTCAAAAAAAACATTACAATTGGCCTCCATTTTTGAAAACGGTCACAAAAACAGTTTATTTAAAAAAAACAAAAAAATTAAACATTTATAATGTTGGTGCTATCAACAAAGACAGAATTAAAACCTAATTTTAAAACAAGAAACAAGTTAAATGTCACAAAGAAAACAACAAAACATCTTCATTTCATTCTTTTTAATTGTCCAGAACAATGTACTCATTCAACCAACAAATTTGTTCTGGAGCATTTTATGTGTTTTTGTCCCTGCAATACTTTCTGGAAAAACTCAAAAGTGTACTTCAGGTCTGTAATGTGACTGCCAAAAGAAGAGTACACACAATGTTAAAATGGCCAGTCAAACCCATACGTAAAGCTTACAATACTAAGTTTCTGTAAAAACAACATAGTTAACTTGTGCTAATGTAGTTACTTTTATGTTTTATGTAATGTGATCAAGCGTGGGTGTAGTAAAACTAAAATTTCATTTTTTCAAGTGCACTACTACTTTTAATTTTGGTTTTAAAAACAAAAAAAAAACAACAACAAAAAAACAAGAAAGCGTCTTGAATGACACTCTAAAATATTTTATGGCATACCTAAAAAAAAAAGATTTTTTTATTAGGTTTTTTTTTTTAAAAAATGCACATACACTTCATATTTTCAGATTTTTCATAGTATGTGTATTAAATCCAGTACTTTTTTACCATAAACCAACACATCAACCATTAGGTAGAGGCTGATATTTTTGAAATTATGGGATGTGTTGAAAAAAAAAATGCATTGAGTGTGTTAACTAGTGACATTAGGAGTTAAGAAATGCAATCCAAAAACATTTTCTTGGTCAGGCAGTGTGATTTAAAGGCTTAACTAGGTTAATTAGGGAAACTAGGGTAATTAGGCAAGTCAATGTTTAACTTGTTCCCTAAATGCTTAAGGAGGCTAATATTATTGACCTTAAAATGTTCTTTAAAAAAATAAAAACTGCTTTTATTTTAGCCAAAATAAAAAAAAGACTTTTACCTGAAGAAAAAGGTTATCAGGCATACTGTGAAAATTTCCTTGCTTTGTTAAACATCGTTTGGAAAATATTTGAAAAAGAAGAGAAAAAAAAATGTAGATGTTGACTTCAACTTTCTTTCAATTTACTTGAGAGCGGATTATAAAACAAAATCACCACAAGATATTATAGTTCCGATTAAAACAAGTTCAATATTTCAAAAGTTCAGCAACTTTGTTTAGTTAAGCTTCGATTTTTTTCCGATCTTCAGACAAAAATCAAAGCTATATGATTTCCGTCTTTCGGTAATGCAGAGATCTCGGCCGCTGTTCTTGACAGCGTGCAATCATTTCAGTTTGCAGCTTCACTTCATGATCGCCCATGCAGACTGCAACAAACAAAAAACTCCCTCCGACAACTAACAGAAGTCCAGCAAACCAGGCAGAAAACATGGCTTCTCCATACTCCCATCCGGGCATGACTTCAGGACGATCATCATCCCAGAATTTCACAACCATAACATACGCCATAAATGAAACAGCCGCAAGAGTCGTGACTCCAGACACAACTACAAAAACTCCCCCGAGGATCAGCAGATTCCTCTTCATCCTCTCTCGACTGGCTCCAATCTCAACTCCGCGGAGTCCGAAAAAAGCAGCCGCCACACCGAGAATTCCAGTGGCGATGGAAATGCACATGAGAACCCGGCCAGCGAAAGTGTCCGGCGGAAGAGCTAAGAAAGAATCAAAGGCTTTGCAATGGATGCCAACTTCCTCCGTGTAGATACACATGTGCCAGAGACCCTCGTACCAGTTCTCCATTTCATTCAAATCGGAGTTCATCGTCTTCCATAGAGGCAAGAAGGTTGTGACGAACGTTGTGACCAAACCTCCGAAGGACACAAAGAGCGAAGTCCTCTGTACAAACTTGGTGGTGAACAGCACCATATTACCTCTCGTCTGATTTTGTCTGTCTGTCCATCTGAGATTTTCAGCTCTTCTGGTTTTCGTCTGGCTCCTCCTTTGCTTTAATAAAAACCCACCTGTTCCTGCTGGATAATCCTGGAGCCCTTCACAACGGCAGGACTGTTTTTCAAACTGATGAATATCTTCGCCGAGGACAATAACTGCTTTTTTGAGAGGAAATACGATACGTCTAGTTTTAAGTCTGGACGTACGAAGCCTGAACAGAGTGTGGTTGGACTTTTTTTAAATCGAGGGGAAACAGAAATCTGTTTAGTAGTTAAATGGCACTAAAATCCTGCCATTATTATTCACTCTTCACTCGAGTTTCTTCTGTTGACCATAAAGGAAGATATATATTATACATATTTGATTAATACTCCAACTCCTTCTTTGATTCATTTGAATATGGGCTAGTACAACCCCCATTGAACACATTATAATAAATTATAACACACTATGAACACATCACAGTTTGCCAGGCTAGATAATTCAAATGAATCATTGACTTCTTCTGACTTCATTAGTTTCAGAAACAGATTTATTTACAACTTAAAAAGGCATCTGTGGATAGCTTTTCTTTTCTGTGGATGTAAATAAGCTATACACTTATAAAATAATATATACACTGCACTGTTCAGATCATTGCAACATGGCTTACTCCGAAAACATAGCTTCATATACATTTCTGGAGATCGCGAATTAAGTAGCCAGAAGTACGCATGGCTGCATTTCGTCTTTAAAATCAACGCTACGTTGGGTTTAGGGAAGTGAGTGGGCGCTGGTCAATCGGTGCTTTTTAAAACACTATCGGTTGGGTTTTAGGAAGGGGATGGGTGGGGGAAATCGGTCAGTCAGTAAGTTAAAAGCGGCCTCTGGTGGATTTACACGTGAAGAGCAGGCACGAATGGTGAGAGAAATTTAAGATCTCAAAAAGCATGCACAGCGCCCTCTGGTGGATTCACAAAAAACTATTACGTATTGGACGCTCTCCAGTAATGTATATAGGGCTGCATTTTCAGAATGAGCCATGGCTGGCTTTATAGTATGTTGTAAGTGTTTTGTTTTTCAGATGTTGGCTGAATTGTGGGTTGACCAGTAAATCTTGATGTGGATGCTTCTTTGTTGCTGGAGATACTGTTGTCCTAAATAAATCAAATTAAATAGTCTTTGACAGCAAAAAAAAAACAAAAAAAAAAAAAAAACTTACATATACCTTGAAACAGTATAACAGAACATTTTATAAAACCAAGACTTTTTCAAACCACTGTAAACCTTGAAACCAGTTATCATCTCATGACTAGTTGTTAGTCACATTTTCTTACAATTATAGGCTATGAATCTTTTTTTTTAATGATCATCTTCTACAGGTTCCCTGAAAGAAGATATTTTTATTAATCTCAATAGGATGTTTCTGGAAAAATAAAGGATAAATAAATCTAATATTTTGAACAAAGCTGAAAAAAACTGCTGACTTCCATATTTATTTTTTCCACTATGGATTTGCATGATTACCCATTTTCAGCTTTCTTCAAAACATCTTGTTTTGTGTTCAATAAAAGAAAGAAATTCATAAAGGTTTGGCACCAATTGTGCATGATTAAATTTACATTTATGGGTGAATTGTCCCTTTAAAGTATAATTGGCGCTAATAACAACTAAGACATGTTAGATTATTAAAGAGTTAAAGAACTCTGTGTTGGGTAGCATCTGAATGAACAGTAGTTTGCTTTGGGAACACTATGTACCTACCACAGTTTTTTTTTTTTTTTTTCACTGAGGCTTCTCTGATATTCGGAGATCAGTGGTTAGAAATCGGACACCTTGTCCTACATGCTGAGCTGAGCTCATCCATACCTCACCATTTGCCCTTGAACAGTGAACATGGTTATGTTCATCTTTATGTAGAATAGGCTACATTTCATGACAGCAAGCCTTTAACCTTAAGGATTGATCCAAGTAAGTCATTCCACAAAGTAATGCAAGGGCCAATGACAAAAGGGGGTTTTCAAGCATCAAAACAATATACCTTTTGTAAAACCAGAGTAAATGATGAGGCAATTTTCATTTTGGGTGAACATTCCTTTTAGAAAAACCTGTAGAATGATTTACATTGGATTGAATTAGATTAGAATGTTTTCAAAAGAATCATATCTGCTTTACCAGCACAAAAAACAGTACATTTTTAAAGAAATTTAAAAATTTTATAATAATTTCCTCAATCTAATGTAAATATTCAAGTGTAAATAATATTTCTACCAAATTTTAAATGATAGAACAAGGTTGCGCTACATTCATTCTTCCATGGTGGGGCGCCACACCAAAATTCATCCCGCCACAACTACATTACAGATTCTTACTCAAAACATTCAGTCATTTTAAAAAAAATAGTGGATAGTCTCACCAAAACATATTAAAAGGTAAGTGAATTACAACAGCGCAAACTTTTCTGTAACCGTAGTAGTGCTGTGGGTCATTTGTTTAACCCTTTAAGATGAAATGCTGACTGACTAACAGGTGCGTGAGGCTAGCAAACCAGACGTAGCTTTCAGTTAAGAGGAACACAGTTTCCATAATTATACTTTATTTTTAGATAAATCTCTATGGTTCAGCATACAAAGACTTTATCTTGCTGGCGTTTATAGCTGTCTCACTTTACTTCAAGACGCATTAATACCGCTCTGTAGGTCTATTTTTAGACATTCATAAATATTCCTAGCAAATTTAATTAATGTTAGAGACATACTTCTCACATAAACGCACTTCAGCAGCGTTTATTTGAGAGCGCGCACAAAAATCTGCACTTGAGCAGCATAGCTATTTGAGGAAGTTTTATGCATGAACAGAGGAAATCGGTGCACAAGCAGAGATTCGCATGCTCGTATTACATAAATGCGATCTCGACTTGTAATACTGCGCTCACGACATTTGTCATTGAAATAACGTCATAGGCAGTTGGTAGATCTGTGTAAAAGACCTCCCACCACCAATAATATCCAGCTGCAGGCCTGCAGAACCACACATGTTTTAGGCACACAAAATCTAGGGCACACGATTTAGGCAAACCATATGTGGTAACTAACTAACTCTTTAGCAGTATCACCACCTATTGAATTTCACAAGTATGGTTTAAGTCATTATTATTATTATTATTATTATTATATCGTAACGATCATTTTAACATCTCTGCAGTTTCTGAACTCAAATTATGTAAATAAAAATAATGGGTTAAAGACACTTATGACGTTATTCATGTGTCTGCATAAACAGAAAACATAACAGACTTTCTAATTGTAGGATTAAGTGTAATAAACTAGGATCTTGATCTTATCATACTTAAAATTACTTTGTTGTAAAATATAAAAAGCAAACAATGTGTCACATTAAAATAAATTAGCATACTATAGTTAATCATTTAAACTATATATATATATATATATATATATATAAACTGATTATCTTAACTGATTATCTGATTACAATTATAAGTTTAAATATAAACTACTATCTTTTACTAAACTGTCACAGCTGTTAGTATATATATATATATATATATATATATATATATATATATATATATATATATATATAAGGAATATTTTGTCAACTTTACCTGGATTTCTTTAGTTTATTCAACTGTATTGTTGCTTGTAGAAACTACATAACAAACTTGCGTGGAACCACTTGACCATATTTTTTATGTAAGTCCATAAAAATCAGTTTTTTGAGTGTGCAACAGCATTATGTTTGTTTGATTATTTTGTAAACCAGCAATGCTGTGTAAACCATGATCATTCCTTAAATGATTTTAACTGCATTATTTAAAACAGTCAAAACATGGTCAACCGCTAGAGCAGGCAGTTATAGGATAAAAATGTATCTATTGTCATCATGGCAAAGCTAAAAGTAATCAGTTATTATAATTTAGATATTAAAACTATTATGTTTAGAAATGTGTTAAACCAATCTTCTTTCCTTTAAACAGAACTTGGGGAAAATTTACAGAGGGGCGAACAATTCTGACTTCAACTGTATGCTTCAATTCCATTTTTAAAGTTTCAATCTCTTTAGAGTTGAGAAATGTGTTGGCTTTCATGCTAAAAACACACAAGAACGATGAACAGGACTATGGCTTAATGATGCAATGCTTATTCATAACACTCAATTGATATTGAATGGGAAGAATTTGGCTGAAATGATTCACATTCTACTTCTAAAGCTTTTAAGTGACTTTCAAAGCTCTCTTTGTAAAATATATCAGTGACCTCTTGGTACATAATGATAAAATTCTATTTTTTATCCAGGTATACTAACGCATTCTTTCTTGCTATTTTATTTTGTGCATTATTTGATGTCTTTTATGATCAACCACTAACAGTTTCTGCTATGAAATAAAAATGTAAAAGATAATTGTGACTCTCAAAGAATTCTCAATTTTTTATGTCAAAGTTCAAAATATTAAATAAATATTATAATATAAAAGACTAAGAAAAACTTCATTGTTCTAGATTTTTTTTTAATAAATCTCCTACTGCACCTGTACATTTATGAAGTATAAGATGTGAATATATTTGATATAAGTAAAAAATTAGAATCAACCTTCTTGTTATTTTGTGCATGATCAGAGTATTTGTGCCACACAGAAAGTCTGTTCATGTAATGTCCTTTCATATGCCAAATGATGTTCTTTTTGTTATTACACTTTCTTTATTGTTTTATAGCCATTCAAACACAACTTCCAAATTTGGTCCAACCAGCACAACAGTTGACAATAAAACATATAATATACAAACAATACATACAGAAATATAGTGATAATAGATTAATACAATAATAAATACATAAAAAAGGAAACAAATAATATTAAAATAAATACAAAAATCACTATTATTGCTGTGCATTGTGGGATTGATTGAGTGCACTTCATAATGTCCACTATGGTTTCGAACACCAAATGGGTGCTTCCTCAAATAGTGCCCCACATAGGAGGGGATTTCGGATACAGCCATATACATAGAGTTTCCAAAATAAGAGTCGCACATTCTGTTCATAGAAAATATAATAATCTAGTTCATAAATTAAAAAAAATAAGAGTAAACAAGTAACAATTGTGGTAATCTCACTAGGAAATATTGTGGCCAAGGAAAAACTACTGGGGGTGAGCATATTAATGAAGCCGTGTGGAACATCAGAGTCTGTTGCTGCATCCCAAATGGCACACTATACACTGTGCTCTATGTACTTATTTACTTACACACTGAACAGCATAGTAGATGA